ACCGAGAACTGTTATCTTATCTTGCTATTATATGTAAATGACATGTTGATTGCAGGAGCTAGTTCAAAAGAGATTGAGAAGTTAAAGCAACAGTTGTCTGAATGTTTTTCCATGAAGGATCTTGGAGAGGCAAAACAGATTTTGGGCATGCGATTCGAGAGGGATGAGGCAGCGGGCAGATTGTATCTTTCACAGGCAGAATACATTCAGAAGGTCTTGGAAAGATTCAGAATGCAAGATGCAAAGGCAGCAAGTTTACCGTTGGGTAGTCACTTCAAGCTTAGCAAGGAAGATTCGCCGAAGAACAAGGAGGAGCGTGCTCAAATACAGAATGTCCCATACGCATCGGCAATAGGCAGCATAATGTACGCGATGGTGTGCACAAGGCCATACATTGCACATGCGGTGGGAGTAGTGAGCAGATTCATGGGAGACCCCGAGAAAGAACACTGGGAAGCTGTGAAGTGGATCATGAGGTATTTGAAAGGTACTGCTTCTAATGCTTTGTGTTTTGATGGGAAGAATGTAGAGCTGCTGGGACATGTTGATGCAGACCTAGTATCGAATGACTCAGATGGATCGAGGAGCACCACCGGGTATGTTTTTACATTTGGTGGAACGGCAGTTTCCTGGCTTCCGCAGCTGCAGAAGATTGTTGCATTATCTACCACTGAAGCTTAATATGTGGCCATTACGAAGGCAAGTAAGGAGATGGTGTGGTTTCAGAATTTACTTGGGGAACTTGGGAAGGAGTACAAGAATAACATTCTTTACAGTGACAGTCAAAGTGCTATCTTCTTGGCCAACAACTCAACTTTTCACAAGAGAACCAAACACATTCGGTTGAAGTATCACTACATCCGTCATCTTCTGGAGATAGAGGCATTGCAGTTTGTGAAGATCCGTGGGAGTGAGAATCCAGCAGACATGTTTAGCTTACAAGGGAGTAACCTTGGAGAAATTGAAGCTTTGTATAGCTTCAATTGGCCTGGGTACTTGAAGATGAAGGTCGGCACTACCATGCTTACAAGGGAGGTTTGAAGAAGACAGTCTCTAGGTGGGAGATTGTAAGGTGTTAGAGACAGTTTCTTAATTTATTTTTGGAAACACGTTTCTTAATTTATTTTAGGAAACACATCCTAGTTGCATTGGGGTTAGGATTTACTTCTCTATAAATACAAACTCTCTCCCTTGTAATCAGTGTGTGAGAATCCAGAAATAGCAATAATATTCCTGGCTTGGTAGCGCCCCCAGACGTAGTCATTCGTGGCGAACTGGGTTACCAAATTTCGTGTGTTCTTCATTATTGTTTTTCGTGTGCGTGAATTAAATTCCTAACAGACATTTGGGGCGGGTCCGCCCCGTCTTGCAAATGGGGCGGGTCCGGGTATTAGAATTGACCCGTGTCGCCCCGACCCGACCCGCTCAATACATAAGTATACATACTTTTTCTTAACTTATACTACAAATATACTTCAACATACATATGTGTGTATACAATAAATCATAAATTCTTTGATCTTATAATATATGAATATATATTAGAATGAGATGCACGACGGATTATCACTGTCTTCTTTATATATAGAATTTTAATACATTTATTCAATTATTAATATAACTAATTAGATTAACTATTCAAATTTGGGTAATTTTTCCTTAATTTTTGAAATTTTTAGCGTATCATGAATTTGATTTAATATATTGATTTTTAATTATTATTTAGACCATTTGTAGTGGTGAGGTTTTAGGAGTCTAAAGTGTTAAATTTGAAAATTTTGGACTCCTAATGGTGTGTAGTGGTAGGTTACAAAGGGGTTTAAAAGTGGATAAGTGGATAGAAGGTTTTAAATATAGAAGGTGTCTTTGTCAGGGTCGAAAGAAAAAAAACGAAAAAAAAACTAGGCTTTGTCCTCCGGTATGCACTGGGAGATGCAATTAAATGACATCATGGTGATGTTATAAAATCACAATTTTTTAAAAACTCTTATAATTATTTTATTTTTTATCTAAATTTTTCAGAAAATATATCAACATTCATGAATTTTTATGATCTTACACCAATATGTAATATATAAAAGGGAAAAGGGGCAAAAACCCCATGAAGTTGTTACTAAAGGGCATCGGTGCCCTTGAACTACTTTCTTGTGCAAGAATCTTTAGAACAAGTGAAAGGAGTGCAATCACCCCCTTCACTAACGGTAAACCAATTAACAGAACTGGGAATCATTAAATTTGCTCTTTGGTTACTATGACCATAAATTACAAATTAAAACAGTATTCTTGATTTTTTTCTTTGAATTTCACCTTGTGCTCAATTAAAGAAGTAAATCTAGAATATTTTGATCCCAAAATCAGTATATTCTTTCTCTATTCTTAAATAAGTACAATATGTTGAAATTTACACTATTCACATGCTCTTTTTTTACTTCGCTTTATTTATTAATGCATTAATAAATTATTTTGAAACAAAACATTTTTAAACTTGTCTCATTGAAAATTTTCAAAATCTGTTTTCTTTTGTTTTTATTATTAGAGAATTATACTCGTTCAATCCCTGAATTATCCTTCAATTTTTTTCGCCCGTCCCAAAATAATCTTTTTTCTATTTTGGCAAAGATTTTATGGTTCACAACGTGTTTTACACATTTACTCTTTTCAGTATAACTCTCAACCACACAATTTTCACTTTCCTAATTCCCGTGCAAAACCCACTCTAGAAGATAATTCAAAGACGGCCGGGAGAGTATATATTAATGCTTAAAGTTATGCATTGACAAACATGAAAAGTGGAGTACTTGTTTAAGAACGGGGAAATATTGCACAGTTGTCCATATTTCATGAATAACAAATACTCCCTCCGTCCCATTGAACGGTTCTCACTTTCCTTTTTTAATTCGAACGTCCCATATAAAGATTCTCATTTCCATTTTAGGAAACAATTAACAATCTTAAATATTAAAAATAATACATTTATATTATTACGATTATCAACACTAACCTCATTATATTATATACTTATTAAATAATTATTTCTCAAAATATAATTGAACTACCTTATTCAATTATAGTCTAAATAACTGTGTCGTTTTGCCATTAGAACCTTTCAGCGGGACAGAGGCGGTACACGATATCCATTAAAAAATAGATACAATACAAATTAATTGGTTTAAAAATTCTAAAGAATCCAATAAACACAATGATCTGAAACACACCAATATTGGTTGCGGTCGGATGCGGCGCCGTTGCTTTCGTTGCGGGTTTCCTCTATATTCCGTACCATACTTTGTTTGCTTTGATTCGGTTTGAATTTGTTATGTTTCAAAAATATATTAAAAATATACTCCCTCTGTCCCATTTTATAAGATGTCTTTACTATTCACTTGATCAACACAAATCACTCTTAATCTCTTACTTTATATATCAAAATTTTTATGAAATTTGAATTATTTTTTCCAGGTTTCGTAGCGCTTTTAATGTAGTTTCTGAATATGTGATTCTTTTTTTCTAAAATTAATTTGAGTGCACACATGGATCTGTTTACTTTATCGTCGGTCAAACATCGTAAACCGAAAAGTATCTTATAATTCGGGACGGAGGGAGTATTAAATATTGTAGTTTCATTCGATTTTTTTTATTTTTTAAAATGTACAGGTATTCAGAATTGAGATTGTTTCAAAAATATTAGTAAAATAAAACTAACTTACATAAATATGACTAATAGTTACAACAATGTAGCATCATGGTAACTTAAGATTAAAAAATGAACATACGTTACTTTGTTTTCATTACTACTCTAGTCACTACTAACATTATTGGAAACAATATTTATTTTAGTCACAAATATGTACTAGTAATACCTAGTAATTTTTTAAGAATTTAGTGAAAATTCCTTGTCATATCACGCCATTGGTGCTATCACGTTGGTTAATGTAAAATATGCTTCTTTCACAGGTTTCACATCATTGAAAATATACCTTGAGTTGTTGAGCACTTGAGCCAACAATCTATCTAGCACATATTTTCTCCGGTTCTACAAAAATATGCTTCTTTATTGATGCATTTGAATGTTTCAAGTGACTTTAATTCTTCATAAGTGAATTAGTAATAAATGAATTTATTTGAATGGTTGCATACTGCAGCCAAGCGAAGCCAAGGGAGCAACTTTAACGGTTGCAAAATGTGTTCACCGTTAAACAAGGGGGTGATTGCCCTCCTTTCACTAATTTTAAAGATTTTTGCACAAAAATATACTCCGTAGTTTAAGAGCATAAATGCCCTTTGGTAACAACTTCAGGGATTATTTTGCCCCTTTTCCCTATATAAAATGACAAACAAAATTTGAAGTTATAATTGTTGAAGTTTTTTTAACCTAAAATGACAAGAAACACAAGTTTTTAATTCATGGATCCTCCACAAATAACTTAATATTGCACAATCGAACTTTACTCGAACTAAGTTCAATTTTTGTTAACCGAAAAATAATAAAAAGTTAATGAAATTTATTTATTTTTACATCGAAATGTGTATTTTTTATTTCATAATTATTCAGTGTAAAATATTAAAATGAAAATATTACTTATAATAATTTAATCAATGTTTTACTAAATTGATATGTAAAAAAACATGCAAAATGCATTTTATTGACGGCGCTGGAATGCAAGAAAATAGGAGTTGAAACACTATTTTCATTTGAACGGAGTCCATTTTTGACATTCTGACACTCACACCACTCCAAATGGTCTTAGAGATAAACATTATGTAGATTCAATTGGTAACAACTTCCCACAAATAAAAATACAAACTAGCTAATTAAGTTGCGGCGGGGCGAGGCGAACCCGCCCCGCCCCCACATGGGGCAGGTCATGGGTCAACAAGTTTGGACCCGTGTAGGTCACAGGGCGAGGCGGACCCGGCCCGCCAAGTCACGGGGCGGGTCCGGGTCTTGCAATACCCGCCCCGCCCCGACCCATTGCCATGCCTAGAAAAAAGTGACAAAATAATCATGACACTGAATTCTTATATCAAAAACATAATCAGCTATAACAAGTTAAAACCCACTCCAACATTGGTCTTTTACAAAAGTAATCAATAAACCGGATTAATAAAACAATAATTGGAATTATTGTATCAGATTTTTCCTACAGTATAATGTTTTATACTGATCACGACAGGTAATGCCAAACCACAGCAACCGCTAGCCAGTAGTAGCCAGTGGAGTACATATGTATCCCTGAAAAACTCAAACTGAAGCTACTTTTGCTACTAAAGCAAATTAAGTTGAGTTACTCTGTACTTTTATTGAGTGAATTATTTCCATTTTTCAAAACTGCCAAAACACGTTGCTTTCAAGATGATGTATTAATGTGAAGAGTCAAGTAAAATCCAAAGCATTTCTTGGAACAACTCTTGCAATAAAATCAGCAACAAAGGCTATACACTTCGAAGATGAGGCTGAGGTTTATCCATTATATTAGAATCAGTTCGATCCACGTTTAGCACAATCTTCAGCTCGTGTAAATGCATTTGCAAAAACATCAATTGTCCAGTCCTTCACATCTTCCTGCATAAAGACGCCAGTATAAGGAACAAAATTGTACCTAAAGTACTTCTTAAGGACAAAAAATAAAAAGAAATGCTAGAAAATCACATTCTGGTGCGACTTGAGACCATCAAGGGCCCCTTACTAAACAGTTTTGCTCGTGAAGTTAAGGTGAAAAAGACTCAATATTCCACAAGGCATTAAACTGCCTACGAGTCTTGGCAAGTTAGCATGACCTATAATATTAAAAACAATAGGCAACAGAAAACAATAAGTGCCAGTTTAAGTTGCAAGACATCCTATAACACCTAATTGTCGTCAGATTGATACACCATGAGGAACAACTCTTTGATACTTTTCAAAAAATAAAACATAGACAGAGAGAGACCTGAGCCACAGTGATGTCTGTGCTTTTTTTAACAACACTGGGAGGATCCATGCCAAAATGCAGCCAGTATAAGAGCAAAATTGTGATATAAAACCTTGATAAAAAACTGAAATACTCTTAGATAAACAATCTTACTCCATAAGAGCATATGTCCACCAGTTTTAGGTTATAAGAAATCTACACTGCCACATTGTGACATGACATTTGTGACTGGCAAACTGAAAGGATTCGTTAAGGTAACATAAACTCATGCTCCTTTGCTTCGATTTACCAAAAAATATCATTGGAATCATAAATGATATAGGAAGAAAACTTAATCATGTCAAATTTCAGATAGCAGAAAGATCAAAGAATAGATTAACTTGAATAACTAGAAAACCTTGAAAGATGCAAAAAGAGAAGAGCAAAGTTGTGACTTATGGGCAAAAAAAGTTTCAAAGAATGCTGGAACCACACTTGAGAATGGGTTATAGAAGCCCACACCCTCAAATAAAAGGTATTCTCGTCAAATCCATTATCCAAAGCATTCTCTGAAACTTGATTTACTGAACCTTTCCCTTGCCTCTTGCTTAATTGAAAAGAGAAAATGGAGCATTACCAAGTGCAAGGGTTCACCGGTACGTATCCGAGCATTTGGACGAGCAAACCTAGACTCGAATGGAGTCCTTGGCCGCACTTCTTGGATGGCATCCCATTCCTCACGGGTAAGCATCCTTACAGTTCCTTGACCTTCAGGTGCATCATTAATCTGCTGCTCAATCCTCTCCTGAGACTTCGAGTCATCATACTACAAAGAAACACCATATCAACATAGCATCCTAACACCATTTAGTTCTAACCCAAGAAATTTGTTCATGTTCGGCAATTTGTTGCATTTAGGAATTGTTCATTTCACTTAAGCTAAACAATTAGGTAAAAATCAAAGAGCCAAAGATATATCTAGAAACCCTTTCTTCCAATTAGGGGTTTTACAGTTCTATTACGCAACAAAAATATGGTAAAACCAACACACAAATGAAAATTCTAGGAGCCCTATCCTTCCCGTTAGGAATTTTGCAGTTCAGTTGGGCTATATAATTATAGAAAATTAAAATACGAAAAAATCCTGCAAGCCATATCCTGCAATTACGATTAAGCATTGACATTACAGAAAGTGATCTCGACACATTTCACTATCTTCTAAGGTAAGAGTCAAGCTAGTTTAGACATACCATCATCATGAGCTTTGCTAAAAGCGCAGTGCCAACAACAGTGAGTATCATCGGCATGGTGGGAGTGTCTAGCCATGCCAATGATTCCCGCACCTGCACAAATGTTTGGCTCTTCCTATAGTTCTTGCCTTTCCTCTTCCTTTCAAGTTCTGCTACCTTTTTCTTCAAGGTCTCGCTGGGACCTTCTGAGGATCTTGTGTGCACTTGTCTACATAACCAGGGCACCATTTTACGAACCCCATTCATGCTTTAACGAACAAAAGCTAGCAAAATCGTGTCGAATTGAAACTGCTAATCGAGGATGACAGTACTATAATTTGAGACTTTCGCCGAACACCTTGACTGCACCGTGGATACCTGGAAGCTGAACAATAATTCACAACAAAAGAATATTGACACTGGATAGTTGGGAATAATTTGAAATCGTAGTGGTTCAATTGCAATACATTCAATCATACGGTGATACAAATAGCACCCAATCATATGTTTTTATACGATACATATAGTATTGTTTCAAATATTATTTGGTAATTGGTAGAATGAAAATTATGAGATAGTTTATGAGGTTACAATATAATTATGAAAATTGGTGTTCAAGAGTTTTCATTGAAAAATCTAGAATTGTAGAGAAGATAATTAAAACATATTTTAAGGAATTATGAAAGATCATGATTCAAATTGGTTGAATATTTCTTTTTAATTTGAAATATTTTCAGTTGAAGTTCTAAAAGATACTTTAGTTATCAATCAAATACTACGTACTATGTATCTGAAAGAAAAATATACAAACTATTAACTTAAGATTTGAATGATTGAAATTTGTCAGTTTAGGATATAAAATAGCATAGATTTTCAGTTTTTAAATTATCAACTTGCTTTTATGCTATTCTTTTATGAAAAACCAAATATCAAATGGAAACAAGGCTTTATCACAATGGCATAATGGTAATTTCACAATGACATCAATAATGATTATATTGTGCAATTGTATTTTGCAGCGAACATCATTGTATTTTGCACTAACTAGTGACCATCAAAGTCATTTTAGATGTTCTTTTTAATAATACTATAACCAGTGATCTGACTAGGCGGGCGCCTAGGCGCCGCCTGGTTGTTGGGCGCTGCCTTACTGAGGCGAATAACACATAATCGCCATGGTTAATCAGAGAACCGACTAATCGGCAGCCCAGACCGCCTACGCAGCCAAATCGTCCAAATCGGCGAATAAGTTAGTCGGTCGAGAGCTTATTTTACGCTCCTAAGCCAAAAAAATTTACATTTTGCCGCTTCAACTTCAGTTATGGTGTACGCTGTCTTCTCTTTTTCCTTTTAGCGCCACCCTTGATCTCAATCATCTCAAGGCCAATGCTTGTCTTTCGATTTCCAGCGCAGGTATCATTCTTCTCAAACCCCTCACAATAATATACTCTCATCGATTCTCTGTTTTTTTAGAAATCTCGGATGTTTGATTTATTGTCCGAAAGGTGTTTTTGTATGTGTTAGACTGTTAGCAATTGATATTAAACTATTAAGCACTTAAGCTTACTGATAGATTCTTGGGGAAACACACAAATACACAATCTTATTATTTCAATGAACTTGTGCGAGATTAGTGTTTGGAAAAAGTCCTGAAAGAATTATTGAAGGCCGGAAGCTTTTGAAATTTGTAGACATACACCGAACTAACTGAAAATTTATACAACACTGTGTTTCTTCCATAGAGTTGAAAACTTATACATAGCTGAATACTTATACTGAAGTAAATATTTATGCATACAGCATACTGTACGTGTTAGGCAGTAATTTTCACACCGGATTGTTTTTGCTTTTTGGGTGAACAATACTTTTTTTTGCTTGACCATGATTCTCATGAAGAATGTATTATGTTTGGGGAATCATGAAGAATGTATTGCTTGGCCAATAGATATGAAGCATACTTGCTAGTTGCCTAGTTGCAAAAGAAGTGATATTTTAGTAGTAATTATGATTTGTTAGAAACTTAGAATAACATTTCAGTCTACAAAAACCTGGCCGTTGGTGTGCAGAAAGATTGGTTCAGTTTGAAATGCATCTGAACTTTGGCTACCTATGTAGAGATTTGTGGAAAACTTGTTTTTAGTTCCAAATATGAGCCTATTTGAACAAAAAATAAGTCTCATTATAGTTAATGTATTTACCTTTTCAATAATGTCCCCAAGCAGTTAGTTAAGTATGCTAAATTAAGTTACACCAACAAATAAATTTAGATATAGGACTCCCATTAATGATTTTCAACTATATTTATACAGTCGTCTTATTCTATGCTCTTTGGACACCATAATCCTAGTTTTTTGTTACAAATAAGCTTTGTAATATAATAAATAATACTTATTTTATCATTTATGTTAGCATATTCCAGGAAACCCAAAAAAAGAGGACTATATCTAGTCGGCGCCTAGGCGCTGCCCCGCCGCCCTAGGCACTTGGCACTGCCCCGCCGCCTGACTAGTGCCTAGCGAGTTCTAGAACATTGACTATAACAAAGTACTTCGTATCTCTTTTTATAATAGGAAACAATCACCAAAGATAAATGGATGATAAACTTGTTTAAATATTCCTATCAACCACCATATTATTAATTATCTAAACATTATTAGAGTTCAGTTTGTATCGTAGTCTCCTGTCTAGAAGGTTCAGAAGAGGAGATTTTAAAATGGGCTTAATAAATAAAATTGCAAAACTCTTTTTTGTCTAAACTAACATACATAATAATAATATTTCAAGACCTTTATAACAAATACTCTGTAAAAGACTTAAACTCATTAAATTAAACATAGTAGAATCATGTTTTCAAAAAAGAAAAACTAATAAATACATTTCTCACTTAGCATTGTAAAGCTAAATCGTCAATGAATCAATGATAGCTTCATAATCAATTTTTTCCAGGACATTATGCTTAATAACTTAAAATCGGACAAGTCAACAACCATTAACTAATAGCTTTAAAAAAACTATGAACTAATAACATAAAGTGTAAAGGCAACATCAACAATCAAGATATAAGTATATAACAATCAATAATTAAGAATATGAACTAATCATTTATCAACCCTCAACAGCCAATCGGCTAATTATTTATCATATATTCATTTATAAACATTTAACAACTATGAATTGATCGAATAATCAAGTTAGGAACTTGAGCCGTTAATGAATGAGGTGGAGGAGTATCGAGCACCTGAAGAGTAAAGACTGAAACGTGAAGCTTGGGACTCTGAAAGCCAGAACTGAGACGGGCCGATTGGACGAAGGCCGAATCGCTGAAGGCATGGAGCGCAGTATTCAGCCTGGACCGAGATCGAGAAGCCGAGAAGGGGCAGCCGGTCATGGAGGCAGGCGGCTAAGCGTCGGCGATAGGGCGGTCATTACAATCTATTATTCTCCGTTGTGCTGCTCGCTGCGGTCCAGGGAAGGGGGCGCCGATAGATTGTTGTTGCTCGCTTGGTGGAGTCCTGGTGTTCGTGAAGAAGGTGCCGATCTGTCTGCGGCTCGCTCGTCTTGGGAGTTGATGGAAAATGGCGCACTGTGTTGTGGCCTAAGTTCTGAAGCAACTCCAGTCTCAATACAATACGGAATACAGAGTATCAAAAAAAGAAGCAGGGTCACTTTTTATAGAAGCCTGTCTCTTCCAAATTTTTTTTTAAAATTGATTTTAGGAGTAAGTCAGAGCACCATAATCAATGCACTCTTATCCAAATATTCCAACTTCTGCTCCTGTTTCATGGAGCAGAAATAGTTTTAAGAATCAGATCCAAACATCCCTTATATTTTAGGGAGAAAAGAGGCAAATAAGGCCACGTACTAACCAAAAAGGGTCAAATAAGGCCTTATTAATGAGGCTCTGTCCGGCCTTCACCATTTGGGATGGTTCTCAGTGGAATTTTTTGATGAATTTTTTTTACCATCTTATTCATTAAGTCTAGTTTACTCATACCAAATTTCAGCTAACAATTCAGTCGGGAAGGCATTCAAATGAATTCTTGAAGATAACTGCGCTTTTAACTGCGCAGTTATCTTCAAGAATTCATTTGAATGCCTTCCTGATTGAATTTTTAGCTGAAATTTGGTATGAGTAAACTAGACTTACTAAATAAGATGCTCAAAAAATTTCATCGACAAAATTCACCGGAAACCACCCCAAATGGCGACGGTCGGACAGAGCCTCTTAAATAAGGCCTTATTTGACCTTTTTTTGGTTAGTACGTGGCCTTATTTGCACCTTTTCACTATTTTAGGTGGTGTATTGTATTACTCAATCCCTCCCGAATTATAAGATACTTTACGATTTACGATGTTTGACCGACGATAAAACAAACAAATTCATGTTCGCACTCTAATTATTTTTACAAGAAAAAATATTACATATTCAGAAACTACATTAAAAGCTTTACAAAGTCACAAAAAACATAATCAAATTTGATAAAAATTTGATATATAAAGTAAAATTTAGTGGCAAAATTTTAAAAGTACATGAATTTTAAAAGGTTCGGTGTATTCGATGTGGACTTTTAAACGTCTACAAAAGTCTGAGTGTACTCAATATAGACTTTTAAACGTCTATAAAAGTCTAGGCGTATTCAAATTTTCATTCATTCTCGTGGACTTCTATAAAATCACGGATTCTCGTGGACTTGTAACTCAGTTTTAGTACATTAATTCTCTATAATTGTCTCTTCCTTTCACCAAAGAATTTCGTGGACTTTTATAGTCATCTTCTACTCATCACAAGTATGCATAGATCTGATTGCAGATTTAGCTGAGATCACAAACCGGCCAACAAGTCCTGGACTAGTATGATCTCACTATACAGGATTTGAACATTAAATTTTGATTTTTTTCTATCATTTTATGAATAGATAAAGTTGAACAAGGAGTTTCTACATAAATACTGATACACAACATTAACTTATCTTTTCAATTTAAAAAAATAAATAAAAAAGTGATATTTTATATGTCGTCTTACGAAGAAAAACGTAGGGGTGAGATCGGTTTAGTTCTTGAAACGTTAATTCCATATCAATTCGGTTCTATAAATTTGTAGAAGAACCGATATAAGAATCAATAATATTAAATCGGTGCAATTTTTGTACGCTGTCAATTAATCATTAAGAAAAAATTAACCATTAATGTGTTTCAGCGTTAAACTGCTAACACATAGAAATATAATTTCAAATTACTAATTATTTAACCGTAAACAAGTATACAAAATTTAACAAGTTAAAAATGAAAAGAAAACAATTATTAAGAAGAAAAGCTCAATTATCAATGCTCTTACTCATTCAGTTGTGTAATACGGAGTATAACGATTGATCATAAATAGATCGGGATTGTTGAGCATTCTCGAAACTTTGAGTTTCTTTTTAACAAAAATAAATTTGAGTTCTTATGCTTCATTTATTTTTGTAGAACTATGTGTTGGTGGATGAATTACATTTGTTTCATTTATGTATTTATTTTGTCATATGACACATAGGAAATTACGCATGGTAGGACTAAAACATACTCCGTACGTAGTAGTATTTTACCAAAGTATGATCATATGTTTGATTTTCCTTAAATAGGATTAAATATTACATTTCTACCCCTATGGACTTTTTAAAAGTTCATAAACTTATTCATGGATTTAAAAGTCAATAGAATTCATTCATAAAAAAATCTATGGATTTAAAAGTCCATAGACTTTTTTATAAGTCCATGGATTTAAAAATGTTCACCACAATTCATATTCAATACACCCCTCTTAATATTATATCTTAATATTGTAAGCTTGTTAATTGTTAACATAAATTTATGTTATACTGAGTATAGTGTTTATAATAATGAGTATTTGAGCTTGTTAGAATATTCAAATGAGTAACAAAAATGAAAATTTGAGCATACTATAGATTACTATAGATTTATATAAGCTTTTGAATTTTTCGTTATTCATTTCGTAAGTTTTTTTTGACAAAAGACAACTTAATTATTATTAAAATCGATAACCAAATACAAATTTGACATAACGAAGGCTACACTGGGATGAGACTCAGAGTTGAAATCGCGCTTAATAGCGGTCCAACTCACTAACCCCGCAATTTGGTACACTCCCTTAACAGCATTGTTGCACACTTGCACCTGCTACTAAAATGTAATGCAAAAATAGAAGAGTTCTGAGACGAAAAAGAGACATAAAAAGAACATAATTCAGTTTTTCCAACCACCGGCAAGGAGACATCGGTTTGTCCAACCCCTGCCAGAGGATCTGAGGGAAGCTTCTCTCTCTCTCTCTGCTGCCCAAACCCCGCATAGCAACATTCCGCATTCGTTCTTGCTCGAACTACTTCGCCATCAGCCACTTCAATCACTTCCTTTCCTTTGGAGATTAGTCCTTCCACCATGTAGCTTCCTTGATCCATCATAGTAGTTCTGGACGAATTGCTCCAAGCCTCCAACTAATTGACCCTTCATGTCGAATGATGGAACTACCTCTACTAGGGATCAACCACTTATTTTCAAGATGCACACCGCGTCTTCTCATATTTGCATGTAGCCATGCCTCATATGTCTTTTCTTCAAACCAATGTCCAGTGAAAACATTAGATGGACAAAAGCGGTCTATATGTCCCAAAACCCCACATAAGTAAATAACAGAACTTTGGAAGTCTCTCATAACGAAGATCCGCCCAAATCCACCTGTCATCATCCGGTCTGACCTTCAATCTCCTAAACAAGGCATTATTAATATTTTTCATCACTCTTATACGCAGAATTGATCTCCACTTCCCACCAAGAGTGCGTTCGTCAACCTGAACAAAAGACCCCATACTATTTCCAATTCCCGAGCAGCTTTAGAGGTCATGTAACCGAGAGGGAGATTGTGAGCTTGTACCCAAAAGTGAGCCTGTTCCAAAGACAATTCAATAAGTCTATCTTTTTGCTCCAACCTCCTTATGACCACTAAATTTTGATCAGAAGACCAAGGTCCATCTTTGATAACACAACCAAAATCTTCTTCATGGTAGAACTGAAGTAGAAATTTAGAAGCATCAACATCTTGAATGGTGACTCCTCTAACCGGCCTCCACACCATAAACACTGTTTCACGAAAAGCAATTGGGTGAATATATTTATCCGTTACCACCCATGCCACCGCAAAGAAACACACACATCCATCAACCTCGTTGTCATCCCCTATTGGATCCGCTTCCAAAATCAAGCCCCTATTCTCCTCCTCTTCTATAGATATATTACTATACTTCGCAACAAAGCTAACCATAGTTTTATCAATACAAAGCTTCACCAACAGAACAACAAAAAGAAAACACAAGAAACAAAAACCAACCAACAAGGCGCTGACCAAGAGCGCACACTCCCTCGGGAACAGAGACGCCGGACAGAAAGGCAACAAAGCACATAAAGCAGCAAAAATTATCATACAAAAGACTAACAAAACGACAAAAGAGCAACGAACCAATGGAGACACAACACGATCAAACTATCCGGCCGTGTACGGCGCTGCAATGAGTCTGCTGCAGCTGCCGCATCAAGATCCATTGAATTCTACATCTTGTCGTCGGCCAGCTGCGCTACGTTTTTTTTAGGTATCTATTGTCCCATTTTGTAAATTATGTATGCTCATTTGATAGTATTAGATTAGATTCACATATTCGACTCATACGAGTTTATTGTAGGTATTTTAAAAAAATAAGGAAAAGAAAGTGAATTATAAGATGTGAGGCAGAAATTACAATGATCATGATTACACTCTTAATACTCAAAAGAATAAATATGAGGATCATTAAAAATGCAATAATACTCATTTAATAGAAGTCAAAACTTTCACTTAAATTATAAAAATGTCACCAACTATACGGTGTACATCTTAGAGCCGGTTGTACGGTATATGAACTCCTCTTTGTTCAACTGAAACTGAAGTTTCCATCTCCTTAATTCTGCATTAGGATGTTTCTTTTGCACAGTTTCTTTTACCAAACCAGGCTTCTATAGTTATAAAATACAGAAAGACCAAACGTTTACCAAACCAGTTCAGACTGGACTAGCAAATTTCAGTCCAAAAGAAAACATCTTTTGCTTTGGCTTTTGAGATTAATGGACCTTTCAGTGGTTGGGCTGGACAAAAAAATAGTTAACCTACCCACGCCTGCTACTCACACCTATTACAAACGCCAAATATTGGGCCTAAATATTTTTATGGGCAATTCTATTGACAATCACACCATGACTAAACGCAACCACAAAATACTCCGTAATAAATATTTATTTTTTAAATGTCTATTTTACCCTTCTGCCTATCCGTACACATACAAAATTACAGACTTGGTTGCCGAAGAAGATGAAGGTGGAGGGCGTGTGCTCGTTCATCACCGCCGCACAATTGAAGAAGGCTCATACCAAGTTGGGAATGGAGCGACTACTGCAGACTTGGTCGCCGACTTGCACCGTGGTCCAGGAGCTTCATTGCCGACCTGCGGCTCATCTGAAGTAGGACGACCGTCGACCTGAAGTGGCTAACGTGAATGTCCAATGCCGACCTGGGACCCATGGCACATGTGAAGACAATTCGGCCTGAAAA